CCGAGACCTGCTTTGAGGCAGTAGCTCCTGTTTCTTCTCTCGAGGTAAACCCTGCAATGAAAACAAGCAGAAATGAAATAAAAGTAACGACTTTCTACTTCGTCTTTTTAAAAATGTAAGGAGTAAAAAGTACGCTGAAAATAATTACTGAAGTAAAGTACAGATACCCAAATTTTATACTTAAGTACAGTAAAGAAGTATTTGTACTTAGTTACTTTACAGCTCTGCATTTAATTCAAATATTATTTCARTATTTGCATTTTTCCAGCACAGACCTGCAAATTACATTATTAAAATCAGTGTCTTCATGTGACCTCAGTTTTTAAAGAAAACCTGTTTTTATTCTACAAACTGCTGCTGWGTGGAAAGAGAAATAAATGAATATAAAATATTGTTTTAAAATAAAATATATTTGCGCATCACAAACATGTGAACCTCAGACTAATGTCTGACTGTAATAAACCCTTCAGGTGAGGTTAACTCTTTAAACAGCCCAGCTGGTTCTGGTTCTGGTTCTGTAGTGTCCAGAGGGTCCAGCAGAGATCAGTACACTACAGTCCTCTGTCTTATCACTGAAGTGCTAAATGAAAAAAAGTGAAGAAATGTGTCTTTATTACAGATCATCACAATATTCAACAATAATTTTGACACGTTCCTGATGTGCAGCTGTGCTCCAAACCAGATGTTTTACTGATGAAGGTCAGCAGAGAGGCAGAGAGATTAAAAATACTTTGAAGGAAACTCTGACCTGATGCTGAAGCCCACCTCAGGTGGTCTCTGGGGAGCAGATCTGTCATTAGGTGAGAGGTGGGGWCACCCCCAAACWGAGACCACCCATCAGTTAATCAGTCGGACACTGATAACAGGCTGGGTTTATCCAGAGGAGGTTCTGTCTGCAGGCTGAAAACAYGCGTTATATCARAAATACRTTGTTTTATTAAATTACAGTAAAAACTTTACTGATGAGTAGAAAAGTTAAAGTATTCTAAGTTTATCCACAGTTTCTTTTCTACAAGCAAACCCACTGATTTATCTTTAAATAATTGATTAATTTAGTGGATTAGAGGAGTTGAAACTAACTGCAGGAGGTAGAAAACTGCAGCGCTGCTTTTAAACCTGTTACAGCTGAATTCACACACTGAAGGTTGTTTTTAGTGTTTTTACTCCTGATTTTATGACTGAAGCTGCAGTTTAAACTGTAACCTGTTGGTCCTGTTGGGTTGAACTGATGCAGGCTGTWGCTTTAACAGAAAACACACACCTGCACAAACTGCTTAACCATTTAACAAACACTAAACAAGTTCCTCCAGCTCAGAAATCATCTCTAAAACACGACGGAGTGGTTTTAGTAACATATCAGTGTTTATTTTTCTACAAATAAAAACATTTTTTACAAGTTTTCTGCCTTGGAACACCTCAGTCTGGTTCAAGATGTTTTTTGTTTTATAAACAGAGAAACATTAACTGTTTTATTTTCTTTTAAAGTCATTGTAGTGACTGGATTTATTATTTGCTTCAGATAACAGACAGGAGAATATGAGCAGGCGCCCTGGCCGGGCCTGGTTTCCTGTTAATGTGCTGCTGCTGATCAGCTGAGATAAAACGGGCCATGTATCCAGTCAGACAGCAGGGAGCTGCAGATGTCCTGAGGCACAGCCAGATCTAAGATCTGATTTACAGGAACCTGATGGTGCAACTTCAGCTGGTTTCTCTGCACTGATCGGGATTAAGTTGTTGTTTTATCAGCCAATCAGAGGCCGGCTGGAAGCTTATTACCCCTGCAGGCAGCAGGACCGGCACACGACGCCAGCAGCTCGTTGGCTTTTCAGAACCACAGAGAAGACGACGACTTTCAGAATAAAAGACTGAAGATTTGAACAAAACCGCAGCAGTTCTCACCTTCATCCCTGCTGTTAATCCTGCTGCAGGTTAATCTGATTAACTGTTCTGAGACCTGATTAACAAACAGATGACTCTCCTCTTTTAAATCATTTGTGACCCGTCACATCAAAACCAGGATTAAGTCCAAAAGTTGTAAATGGAGAAACAGGCAAATATAGTGTTTTGATTAAAACTAGTGGTGTAAGAAAATATCAATACACTGAAATATCGCGATATTTCATTTCCTGATAACTGTATCGATATTCTACAGCCCTGTATTGATTTTTTTATTAAGGTTTAAAATGTCAACTTTCCTGCCAGCCGTTCATTTTTATGTTGTAGTTCAGCCTCTGACCACTAGTTGGC